CTCAATTTCATCCTCAGCCTCCTCCAGATCAATGATCTTGATAGCAACCACCTCCTTGGTGCGGTTGTCAATCCCTTTATACACTTCACCAAACGATCCTTTGCCGATCCGCTCCAGCTTGGTGAACAGCTCCTCAGGATCCACCCTGGAGTGCTAAAGCAGAAAGCAGAGATGGGAATAGTCCGTGAAGTCCCACAGCAGCCTGCAGAGCGCCATGCATACCTAGACAGCTCATTTCCCTATCTATGCATCTACTGTGTTGTTTAATTCACCCGAAACTCACATATCCTAAAAGGTCTCCACATGCTGAGAAACTTAACACAGAACCTATCCAAGAAGAGAAGAACTGAAGAAGCCTTTTACATGGGCTTTTCACCCCTGCAGACTATAGTGGGACAGGAAGGGGAGAGAAGCCCAGAAGGAGAATGTCAGCAAGTATCTCTACAGAAAGCGTCAGCTCCTTTGGGACAGGACTGCTCAGCTGCAGGCACCAAATTGGTGCCAAAGCAGCTCCATGAGCAAGCACTTGTTCACACTTGAATAAAAAGGCAGGCAAGGTGTACCAGAACCAGCCTTCTTTTGAAGATCTGGATGAGAAAATGGGCACAAGCAAGAAGCCATAGGAAGTTCACAAGGATGTTTTCCTAGTCTGCCTTCCTGCATTCAAAGATTGGAATGATTTGAAAGCTTTGCACCCTTCCCTACTTGTCTGGAGGGTGAAATACTCCAGTAATATAAATACCAGTTCACATTAGCTGTCTTCTCTGCTGCAGCCTGATTTCCAGGCAGCACCCAGCCCAGCTCTCTTCAGATGTTTGCAGAGGGAGCCTCACATCTTTCAGAAAGTCAGCAGCAAGGAGGCCAGACACCTGCCTATCCCAGAGGAGACAGGAGACCTGAATGGACACTCCATCTGCAGACCTGCTTTCCTGGAACAGCCTCTCCTCTGGCTGGTACGCCCAGATGCGAAAGCAAATAGCATTTCCCTCATTAGATAAGCACATCAGCTGAGAAGCTACCAACATGATCATCATCGGAGAACTACTGACTCTTTAACAGCAGCTTCAAAGTTAACTCTTTATTAAGATGAGTATGGACGAGAAAGGGAGGAAATCAGAATCATATTCTGATGCTGTTTCATTCTGCCCAGCTGCAGACCACGAGGTCCTGCTCTGCTTCATGCTACTAAAAGGCCCTCTGTGATTAGTTTTTCTGCCTTTTTTAAAAAGTAAGTTTAAAATAGTTTTAAAAAAAAATACCTGGAAAATATGGCCTGAACTACAGGAAGCAGCCAAGCCATTACAGTGAGTTTTCCACACCCAGAACTTCTCAGTCTCACCTCCAACACATCACCCAGAGGGACCACTCCCTTGCAAGGGCCTTGAGCTGGCAGAGATTTTATCTGAGGACAGGGCAGCTGCATTTTTCCATCTAACACCAGGTTCTAGCAGCAGTTCATCACTAAGCAGCCCTAGGTGCTACTTAATGATTAAGCCAGCCAGTCGTTACAGGTTGTTTGCCTTCTGTGTCCAGTGCATTGCTATATGGAGTAAGCCAGGTCCAGAATGAGCTTTACAGTCAGCTCGCTCAACAGGATTTCCACATGCATTCCAGTCCAAGATACAGAAGGATAACTAAATATCCCTGTGCATCCATGGCAACAACCAAACAGGCTGTACTTTTAACAAATGCACTGGAAACAGACTGGAAGGGATATGCAGAGATGAAAGGAACTGGAGATACATAACAGGGACTGGAGAGAGGGAGGCGGGGGAAAGGAAGAGGATTTGAGCTTGGGAAATGCCAGGAGACAACATGAGACTGCAGCACAGGGAGAACAGTCAGGCTAGTCAAGGAGCAGTTTCCACCTCTTGACCAGGAAGGGAAGCAAGGTGGCCCAGACATTACCCTGCACAGTCTACCTACCACACCATAAAAATGCCACTCACCACATCAGCCATTCCACACATCAGGGAGAAGGGAGAGAAAGAGGATCATCTCCTACAAGCACCTGGCTCAGCTGGTAAAGGAAACGCTATCCACATGAATCCTGCAGGGAAGCAACCCTGCAAGAAAACTTTCCTCCCCTCCCACATAAGTAATTTTTCCATGAGAAAAGAAATGGCAAGGTGTAAGTTACTGCTCCCCTCCTCAGCCTGGCATGGCACATCAAAGAATCAGGACTGTTTCTTCAAGAACGGGACATTAAACACAAGAGCACCAACAGCTTTTGGGACAACCACCATTTTCCATATCGAGCTCTGTAATCACAGACAGCTTCGTAAACAAGCTTCCATACTTCGATGCTGGTTTGTCCCGTTTTCTGCAGAACAGAGCAGCTGAGGTAGGGGCGGAGAAGAAGACAAACCTTCCTGACAAGCACATGGAAAGTCTGCCCAAGGGACTCAGGAAAACGATACAACTCTGATGGGCAGAAGAGACAGGCCTACCACATTAGGTTGGAGCAGGAAACTTCTTTTGTAGGTACTGGATTTACTTTCCCAGTACTTGTCACTTCAAAACTGATCTGGAAATGCTTCCGAGCTCTCAGGTGACAGGGCAAGAGTATGACTCTATGGAGGGCCCGGGGATGTGCATCCCTTGACAGAGTTGCCAGAATCACACAGGTCATGTCCAGCAACAGCCAGAACCTAGTGAGTACGGGGCAAAGTGGTAGAGAGTCATTCCAGCCATGGTTACAGTCTCCTGGACACCTGCTGCAGACCAGAGTCTGCTAACAAATTTCTTTGCTTGCTGTAAACATGGAGGAGGAAACAGGCCCATCCCCGATTCAAGCAGGCCAACGCCTGCCCAGTGGAACACCTTTTGAACTACCATTGTGGACACCACAGAAGACATTGCCAGGTGGCATTTTCGTGGAAGCAATTCTGAATTCCCATGACAAACTAAGATAGATAAAATTATGCTAGCCTGCAGGACATGTGCTCAGAAGCTCTGGTCCGTTAAAGAAGTGCCTGTTGGAGCTGCCACATGGTAACTCGCAGCTGACGAGCAAATGTTCAGATCAATGGACATACGAGCCTCACCAGACAGCAGAACAAATGCAGTTATGCCAGGAATGGAGAGCTATGCAAGTGCACCGCTCCATCAGAAGAGAAGCACACTGCCATACTCGGGGGGCTCAAGCAGGGGGGAGCATGGGAGGGGAAGAACTCATTTTGTGTAGCCTGACTCTCCCCTACCCCAATAAATTTGCACCTGCAGAGCACTGCAATGAGGGGTGTAACAAGCAGGATCTTTCCCTTTTCTAAATACAAATTGATCTCAGCACCAGTCTTGCTGTCAGAGAACCACCCTGGCTGCAAATCCATGTTCTGGAGCAGCACAGCTACAAAGACACCTGAAAAACTTCATTAGTAGAAAGTAACAGAATCCAGATGAACTGGTTTACACCTGCATAAATGCCAAAGGAGCTTATTAGCACCTGTCAACTTTGCAACTGCTCACCACCTTGGGATCTTTCCATTTTCTTCCACATTCACAGAACCCACCAGGGCTGCAAAATGGACCTCCAGGCCAGAACTGGAAGAGCTGGCTGACCAGCTACTGCTCCTTGTTCTACTACAATGTGTAAAGTCTTTAAGGGATGATTACCTCATCGTACCTTTTTGCTTGACTGAATGTCAATTACACAGCAGTTCTGCAGCAAAAAGCCTCATGCTGTTTCTCCCCATTGACAGCAGTCAGACACTAGAGATGGATCAGCCAGGCATGAACAGGCTTTGAGGGGAGACCACACAAAGCACTATCTTGGTTGTATGTGCAGGAAGGGGAGGGAGTAAGTATGAGAGGGATGAGGACAATCTACGAGTAATGTGCTCCACTTCTGCCCTCCAGGAGCTAATCTCACAGCACAGGAAAGAAGGATGCTCTGTCATGACAGGTGTGGGGGTGTTTGCCATCACGACTGATGATGCCATGTTTTAAAACAAAGCGACTCACTGCAGACATCAGGAATTAAGAGTTGCTGTGTGTTATGAGACAAGCCTGGCAGTAACACCAGCTGCTTCATGGGCAAAGAATGGGTTTGGCAGCTCTGCCACCTCCAGCTGCAGAGACATGATATCCACAGCTGTTGAGAGGAGACTAGAGAAGTTTAATTTCAAAGCTACTACCTGGAAAGATAAGCTGCATATTGGGAACAGAAGCAAATACCCTTTGAACCAGCTCACGGTCTTCTCTCTGGGCTGTGCCCAGCTGGATCTCACTCTCAAAGGAGTCATATTCAGCATCGTGAGCAAAAGTCACATCTCCATCTGCTGCATAAAACACTGAGAGGTGCTTAAACCCTTTTGGAAGTGAGAGTTTCTTGGTCTGGGGCAGGTCAGGATCAGAATCACTGTTCTATATGGGAGAAGTCTGTAACAGAAAAAGATTGTCAAGGCCACAATACTTTAAGAGCTGAAGCTGACTGGGAGTGTGGCAGCTTCCAAAGGTTTATATGGAACTACAGCAGCATTTAGTGTTACTTCTGACCAGAGCACTTCCCAACCAGCCAAACAAACATCATTTTCCTCTGCCAAACACAGTGGAAGGACGAAGTTGGTTTTAATAAATATCAGCTACTGACCTTCTTTCATTCATTGCCTCCTCTCCGCGCCCACTTCCCATCCAGCATTCACCCACACTGCATGCTACATGCTAACCTCTGGGCCACCAACAGAGATATCTGCAGCAGGCACTAGGTTCTCTTTGGGAAAATCAGCTTTGTATCTGGAAACATTTGAAAGCTTCCCTGTCTATATGAAATTTGTGCACAGCTCTTTTCAACTGCTAAACATGAGACAGTTTTGAACTTCTGGAGTATAGACAAGAGGGAAGTTTGTGTTCAACACTTTGAAACACACAAATTTGTCTGAGACTCCCAACTTGCTTCACAGATAGTATTCTTTTGCTTCAAGGGAGTGAAGCATTACTTAGCTAGAGAACTTGAACAGCTTCTTCAAGGTCACATAAGGAACAACAAAACTAGAAACAGAGCTCAGATCACAGCTTTAAACACTAACGCAAATACATCATCTAGCAGATAGAGCTCCCAAAAGAGACCAGAGGCCCACTGTGCTGTATGTACACAGCAAAGAGCAGCCAAGAAAAGAGAGAAAGCCAACTAGCTGAGGCAGGGAAATGGAGGCACAGAGGTAAAGCAGTCTGGGGATTTGCCTAAGGTAACCCTGCACATCAGTGACAGAACTGGGAATCGAAGACAAGTCAAACCTCTGACATCCCCATCCAAGTCTTAGTCTCTCGATTTTCACAATACCTCCCACCACTCCCTAAACTGGTGAAAAGAACTTCAGACCAATTCCTACTGTCCTTCCAGCAAGCTTCAGTTACACAGATAACGAGGTTCCATCAAGGATTCCTGAAGGGACCCAAGGAATGGACAACACAGACTGCTTTCCCATTCCAGGACCAGACAGAGAGTCATGGGATGACAGAATCTGAGAATGCCTTACGTTTGCATAATAAATTCAGAGATGAGACCACTGGAACTCTGATAAGCTTCATTAGTCAATGCTGTGTACAAAAAAGCTTCAGAGCAACCTCCTCTGTAGCTACAGAACTCAGTTCTCAGCCCTAACCAGACAGCATCCTTTCCTATTCCTTTCATTTCTCTCTCTGTACTATGACTCACTCAGGCACTATATTTGCATTTAATTCCAAACACGCTTTGGGGAAACAGTTTATGTGAAAGACAGCTTGCAAACTAAGATGCACTGCAAATCAATTTTAAATCAGAAAAGGCTTCGAGAAAGCATCATGTCAAACCACTAAAGCTTTTAGTATTATAATTCTACACCTAGGAGCAGAACAGAAAAATGCCAAAAATTCTCACAAAACATGGTTTAACAAGACCTACATTCAGTATTGACATCTGCCAATAATCAAACACACCCCACAACCAAATTCAGAAGAAAGAGGATTCAAGCCAATACAATTGATGTGGTTTAGCTTTTAGTCCCAAGTCATGACATCATCCTTCCACATTCCTCTTATGAAAATGTCATCACAACAACAGGATTTAACCACATCCACTGAAGCTGATATCTCTCTCAGAACAGTTAAACGTTCAGTATCAAATATCACTACCTCTTACGCATTAAGGTTGCAAGCACCGTTTTTCTCAGGCTACTGCTATGAATACTTCAGTAAGGTATGTCTGGCACAGCCTGCACACGCAACTTTTCTGTTCCCATTTCTAGACTTCCCCTCCCAAAAACACTCAGAAAGCCAATGATTCCTGTCTCCCTAAGAAGAGCAAAGTTAACCTCAGAGAAAGGCACCATACTGGGCGAAGAATTCCCTTTCTATACAGCTGGCAACCTAACACTGTCAGTCCAACACCACCACAGAGTAAGGCACAAATCAATCGCCTAACAGGAGTAAGCCGAGACATGTGCAAGAGAGATAAAGAGTGGCAAAAAGTGATTTTCTGGTGATTTGTTTTAAACTCATTTCAAGAGCAAACATTGTTATGTTTCATTGATACAAGAGTTTAAAACAAATTTTTAATCGCCACTTACCTGGCTGGCAAATTCTCTCAAGTGAGCCATGCCTACAGGATGGTCAGACATCAGCTTTTGCAAAATCAGGGAGGGTTGGGACGTTGTAGCACAGCGGGAAAGCGATGCTTTCTCATCCACTGGTCAACTGCAACAAGCAAGAACACAACAGCTCTAACTCAAGGTTTTCAGAGCCTGGCTCATTCCCCAAAAGAGCCACCCGTATCTTTTTTCTCCTCGATTTGCAGTTCTCCTTGAACCTACTAGCCCATTCTAAGTATGCCAGCCCCTGCTTGCAAACGCCATTTCTCAATTCTTTCCAGACATGCCTTCCAGATGTATCAAGGAACCTCGCTTTAATGATATACACTGACAAAGCCTCAGGCACCATTTTCCCCACCATCACCTCAGCGTGCTCCCCAGTATTATAGTTGCTTCTACAGCACTATTCCCTCATCACCACTCCCAGCAGCTTTCCCAGCGCAGCGCACAGCGTTATCCTCAGATACCCCTTTCCTCCTACTACTCCCCACTAATCCTCTCACTGAGGGTACCCCTCCGCTCCCATTCTCCCCAGTACACCCACTTGCAAAGCACAGCTCCCCAGTGCACCTCTTCCTCCTCGGGGAACCCCAACCCTACACCATCCCTGGGCCTTCCCCCACCAGTGCTCCCCAGTTCTGCCCACAGACACTGTGCTCCTCAGCAACCCTCTCCACAGGGCTCCCCACCACCCCAGCAACAGAACAGCCCCAACCCAGCAC